TAATAGAGGTGTTTGGGTTAGATCGCGTTATTTATAAATGTGTCGTAACCCTCCACCACCCGACACGGCGAATCAGCAAAAATGTGTCACTTTGACAAAAGACAAATAGTTGACTACTTTAGCCCCACCGGTGTGTTGAAGAGTGAATCCACAGCATTTACAGTTTGACTAGTACGACGTTTCGCTGGTAATTACATCCAGCATCATCGGGCAATTCGCCAGAATTGATAAATAACGCGATCTAACCCAGAAGCCTTTATTATGAATAATATTGGTCGCGAAAGCCTACGTGTTAAACCAGTGTCTAGTACAGGTAGTCCATGACTTACGATGGAGATGCGTTACGACAACCCCATCGTTAAGTCGAAAATATCGTGAGTTGATAATGGCCTAGCCTACCCAGGAGTCTTAAAGAATGGTGATAATTTAGCAAAACAGAGCAATTTACAGTACCGTACTGTATACACTATATACTGTATGTATTTATTCATTACAATACTGTATTGCACAGTAAAATTTAAAGTAAAAAAACAAGGTAAATTCTTAGCCTACCTATATGAACTGCAATTTCATTGAAAGTTTTTTTCAGGAAGCAATCTTATCTGCTATAAAAACTTGTACCGTGCTTTGAACGTATGTATCCTATCGTGGTAACCCTAAAATGAAATCGCTAAAGCTATGTATCATACATGCATTGAACGTATCGCAACGTATCATATTCTACTGTACTCACCAAGATTCTGTCCGTCGTCTACATACTTGAACGATGTTAGGTTGTTGATGGCTACATTAACTTAGTTGTCGGAAGAGGATGGCGATGGTAAAGTACAGTATCGTACCTCGTACGCTGCTGCGTTTGCCTGCCGCGCAAAATAATTTTGCCATATCGCTATCGCCATCGTAAGATTGATATATCGTAAGTCGGACCATCGTAAGTCGGGGACTACCTGTTTATGAAGCCTTCTTGGGCCTCCCCTAGGTTGACTCGGCTTCAAATGAGTACCAGGTGTGGGGTGTAATCATCGCCACTGGGGAGACAAAGGCGGTCGGGCGTGGTGCTGGCCACCCACTCCGCATGCCGTGCCGGCCTTCATACGGTGCTCGCTAACAGCACTTGCCCCAACAGTCTGTTAAGGCTACACGGGGGATCTTTGTCTTTATCTTGGTCTTTGTGTGAGCGGGCCGGCAGGGAGCAGCGCTGCGGTTGTGGAGATTAAAAAAAGTGAAAAGGAGAATAATAGTAAGAGTAATGTCTCGCGGAGCATCAAGACTCTTGGTCAGGAGGGTGCTGGATTGGGACGTTTGGTTCATTCCATGAATGAGAGTTTCACTATACATTTGCTTTCATTTGTTCAGGGCTTGGTTACTTTCTGTAGGGCGCTTGTGCAGTCTCGCACGAACGGTGCTGTACAACGCCGAGCTTGAGTTAAGAGTACCCAGAGAAACTGCACGGAAATTAGGGGGTACCACGTGCAGTCCAGATAGGGTTCAAGGATTCAGTGCTGTCGTTATCTGGAGACTCGGCGGACCACCTTGTTGGGACCTTGTTGGTACAGTGAAAAAGGAAGTCTTAAGTCCCCGAGAACAGGATATTGGGAGTTGACGTGCACCGGCACGCACTTGCGTGCCCTTTTACTGTGCTTCTAATCGCGCTCTCGGCCTGCAAACACCGCGGGGGGGGTGTGGGGTATGGATTTTTTTTTTTTAGAAACGCCACTGAACTTTTCAACAACGCCCGGGGGAACGGCGGCAGTGACGTCTGCGATCGTTGATCGAGAGGCGGCGGGCGCTTTGCTGTCGATTTCCGCTGACGAGGCGCGAGCGGGGGGGGGGGGGGGAGAGGGGGCGGTAGGGCTTCACGTCGGTTAGCCGTCACGGCGTCGCCGCCGTCGCCGTCGCCGCTCCTCCTCGCAACACCGCTCGGCTCACTCCCTGTCCCTGTCGCTCCGGTGCTGAACACGAGCGCACCGGGGGGCCCGGCCACGGGGCTGGCGTGCGTGCATAGCAGGGACGGCCGCGCTCCTTAAACAGTCGAGTGCGGTCAACTCTCCGTCAGCCGGGCTTGTGACCCGGACAAGGCAATATCACGGGTATTGCAAAACGGTTGTAAATCGGTAAGAACAAATAAAAATATTTCTTGTTTATCCGCGTAGGATGGGGGTGAGGACGCAGAGCGAGGTCATCATTTGGCACGATGTTCAATACGGCAAAGCAGAAAAGTTTTGCTGGCTGGAGGGAGGGATAGACGGTCATGTATGCGAAGGACATGCGGTCTGCTCACAAGTAACTAAGTAGGCAGACGATCCTTCTCCTTCACATATCTGTACCTCCACGTAAACAAATATTTGTTTTATTTTTAATACTTCCTATCAGCGACACGGCCGTCTGGGAGTGTGTCATTTCAGCAGCGTTGGTTCAACACTTGCAAACTCTGGACTGGTTTCGACATCCATCGTCGCATCAGCCGAGAATCCATGAGTCGATGCGGCGCGACACGCGAACAGTGGACCTCGCTCGGCTCGGGAATCGTTTTTGTTTCCACGTGCACGTCACTCGCAGCACGCACTGCATCTGGAGCGTCGCAGTGGTTAGCCATAGCTAACATCGGTGGCGAGCGATATCCGAACCGGTTTTAATGGGTAACCTCCCCCCCCCCCCATTCACCGACCGGCAGTCACCCATATGGTCAAACATGGTCAAACAACCCACACACCCGGCAGGGTGTGTGGGTTGTTTGACCATGACAAATGACTGGAACTCCGTTAACTGGCATCATTTTCTCGGGGAATCTACAATTCTTGTGGCGAGGGCTGGGAGTTCCCGTCGCCTGTGCACGGCGGCGTCCGTCTTGACGCGGAGTGGTTTGCCGCGGCCCTCATCACGATTCGCCATTGATTTTTAGGTTGGCTCACGTCGTAACGATCCGCCCAGATGCGTGTCATTGTAAACTCTCCGCGAGCGCGCAGCGCCGTCTGTCTCGGCCGTTTGGTGGCGTCGGCGGCGGTGGCGGCGGTGGCGGCGGTGGCACGAGAAATCCTGACGATCTGACGATGGCGAAGCGCCGTGGTTGAGGGCTTCCGCAGCGATGGCTGCCGCGGTGAAAACATTAACCCCTCCCCTGGACAATCGGCAGAGGTGTCGCCAAAGAGGGTGTTGAAAATGTATTTAATCAGAGTTGCTTTATACGTCTACGAGTCTTTTACGCTGTGGTGAATGCCAGCCCCTCCGCCGGCTGCGACGTTGATGCGGAACCGGTTGCCAACCAACGGTGAGCGCCGGATCGATCCGCAAGCTTGCGCCACGCGGTTCGGGGCGAGTATCGCGAGCGTAGGGATGAATTGCCGGCGATTTGGCACGGCCGAGGGTCTGAGCGAGAGAGGCCTGCGGTGCGGATCGTGGCGGTGTGTGGTGCGAATGCCACGCACGTCCTCACCTTCACGTTTATTTGTTCAGTCGCTCAGCCAGGCGAGAGCTTAACCTGGCGAGGGAGCGGAATAATGACCCGGGTTACTGAAATGACAAAAGCAAAACAAATAAAATAAAGTGCAGCGATGAAGCCGATTTTATATAAAGCCCCGGGCAAAAATAACCACGTCACGCGAGAAGTCTGAAAATATTGCACGAATGTAATTTACTGCCAAATAATAATTTCCCTGCAGCGCAAGTTTATTTTTTTATTCTCGTCACGGTACGATTCCAATTCGAGTTGCGGAAATGCTGCACAGAGCTTCGGTGACGATTGTACGATCGTACGATTGTGTACAACGGATGAGGATACAGGAGAGTCCAACACAATTGGAAATGACGCCATGGTCAAAAAAAAATCGACGGCTCTGCGGCGGGATTGTATTTGAGCGTTTCTGCTCTCGTTCAGAGGTTAAACTCGGGAGCGTCCAATTGTGATATTTGAAAACGCTCGTTGGCGACCGCCGCACCTAGCCCAGAGCCACAGCTCTTGCTGTTGTCATCTTAGCCCAGTGCGTGACGCGCAGTGGCGCGCCAGCTTTGTTCTTTTGTTCTTTAAATCGAGGGTAACGAGTGAAGTAAATTCTGGCCTCTGCCGTTTGCGTGGTTCATTTTTAAATGGCACGTCCGACATACGCGCCGTCATATTTCTCAAAACCATAATCGATGCTCGGACCCAGCTCCCCGCTCGCGCTTTGCGACCAGCGTTAGATTTCGCGTTATAATGGCGCGCTTAAAAATATAATACTAAACCTCGGTGGTTCTCTTACATCCACCATTTCCATTTCTCAAAATGGTGCGGCCGGACGTATGATTTGCACGGTGGCAATAAAGCTATACTGTAAGCGGGTGCCATGGAGACAGACGGTGACGTCACGGCACACGCATTCCGCTCGCTAAGCCGGGGGGGGGGGGGGGAAGGGAGCCGCGTGCAGCACGCACGGTGGCTGGGCGGCCATGACAGTACCTCCCTCCCGGTGCTGCCCGACCGCTCGCAGCCGCCTCGCTTGTAAGTGCCCACTGCTGCCACCGTTGATGCAGCCTTCGTCGCGGTAACGACGCTCCCCTCGCCGGGCGGGCGGTTCTCCCCGTCGTGTGCCGCAGGGTGATGCTGAAACGCGCCGTCGGTGCTGCTTCGCGGGAGCGGAGTTTGACGACGTCGTGCGTCGCGCGCGGCATCGGCGTTTGCGCCCGCGCCGGGGACGCGCCGGGGACGCGCCGGTGTATTATCGGAAACGAACGAAGTCTCGGCGAGCTCCGCTCCGGAAATGCGCGTCACGCCGTCGGCCGTCGACTGGAAATCGACGGCGAGCCCCGCGCAAAAGGAGCGGCGTTTAAAAAACGTGACCGGGCGAACGCGGCGTATGGCAGGGAGCGCTCGGTGCGAGCGGTGCTGCGGCGAGCGGCCGGTGTCTGCGCCGTGTTTTTTTTCCCACGCGTCTGTCGTGCGCGCGCACCCTTCACGTTTTCGGTCGAGGCTCGCGAGCCGCTCGTCGCGCGTTCTGCAGGAAGGTGCATCCACGTCGCGGGTAAGCTTTGCGCCTCGAAAAATGCATCGGGATGGAATGCGCGCATTTTTAAACGCGGTTGAAATGTTGCGGCGCGATGCAAAAATTGGATTCGTTTGTTTTAATCGTTTTTATCATCTCCGGCAATGCATTGGAAAAGGTTGGCGGAATATCGTTTAGCCAGGACTGCGGGAGCGTCCCGAGCGAGACGGCGTGTGCGTGCGTGCGTGTGCGTGCGTGTGTGCGTGCGTGTGTGCACGTGCGCAAGCGAGCACCATGCTACGCCCGTCTCATCGCGTCCACGCGTGCCAGCGAAGGGCTCCGGGTCATGGATAAATCATTGTTTGATTTGTCCCGTGGCTGCTCGCCGTGCGATGATGTCATCGCCCCCCGACCGAGATCGCACACGTGGGTTCGCGCATCTGGCGCCCTCGCACCGGAGACGTTGACTCTCCGGCTACTGCTGCTGGCGCGACGAGAGGAGCGGCGACAGCGGACAGCGCCCGCGACCCCGAAGGTCGCGGGCGGGACGCCGCGGTCGTCGTTCAGCGTTGCCGCGGGAGCAATCCCCCCTCCTGTGCACCCCTCCCCACTCCTGACGCGGCACACCCAGCGGGAATCATTGTGCGCGGGGTCAGGCCGCGGTCCTTTTACGTGTGGGTGGCACGGTCAGCCCCCGATTGGGTCACTCTTGCAGATGAGACCCTATCCCTGACGTCTTGACTCCTCACCTGGTTAAAACTGAATACACTGGAGACGCGATTGTCCCGGGGTGACGGGGGAGCAGTGACGTCCCAGAGTAAGTCATTCACATCGCTGAACGGCTCGGCATGGGAGTGCAGAGGCGGGGAGCGGCTTCTGCTTTCAGCGTGACCGCTTCAAGCTATCGGTTTTACCTGCCCACGAGTCGCAGTCGCGACGGTGACAGCAGCGTGTGGCCCGAAACGCGGGGGGAGGGGGGCGGGGCGGTGAGCACGGAGCTAGCGCCCCCCTCCCCCCGCAGTGCTCGCGAGCCACTCTTTGGTGTTTGTGTCGCGAAGTAAGCGTGCGTCGTGCGTTGCCCGGGTCGTGTAGATGCCCGCCCCGCCCGCCCCGTTGCTCGCAGCGTTCGCCTCGTCTCTCCGGCGCTGTTGCGTGGGCGATTTTTATGTTGGCAACGGGGGCACCAGCCAGACTCCGTCCCCCGTGGGTGGCTACCCCCCAATGCGCTCGGTCATTTTCGTCGTCCCCGGAAAAATGAGAAACGAGGCAGCCAACGTCAATTGACGCCTCCTGAATTGGCTGTCCGTTGCAAGGAGATTGTTTTCCAGCCTCAGCCGGACTAACTGTCGGACGCTCTGAATAGCTGCACTGCTCTCTCAATTCGGCTGACGCATGGGGCAATGCCGGTGGCCAATTGAAAATGCGTAACTCGACGCCGTAGATGGCTGCCCCACCGAGGTGAAGTATCAATCTGCGAGGTCAAACAGTACCGTCACGTTTAACTACGCAACGGTCATGGACCGGCAGGTTTGAATGATTGCGTTTGTTAAAGAATCGATTGCTTGCAATGATGTGCCTGCGGGTGCATTCAGGCGAACTGATCGCGTGAGACCGGACCGGTGCGAGTCGGCAGAAGCGACGGACGAGACGTTCGCACGTCTTGGGTCCCGGAATGGAACGGCGACCCCCGAGTCATGAACGCCGCCCTCCGCCACCACCACCTCGCCGCCGTGCCCCCCACCGCAATACGCCCGACCGCACTGCGCCTCGCCACGCTGCCGCCCCCCCCCCCCCCACCGTTGCACTTCCTCGTATCCGTGCGCGCACGAGCGCGTGTTTCAGAATCGATTAGTTTCCCAGTTTCTCGCTTTTGTTTAAAGCTCGACGGTCACCGACGCGCCGTGTCTATCGGGCTCCCTCGCCGCCGCCTTCGCCCCGACGTGGCGTCGCGGTCGGCGCCGCCGTCAACGATGGGGGTCGACGACGCGTCGCGGTTTCTTAGTTTGCGCCCAAGCGCGTAACGCGATAGGCGCCGACGCTCGTCCTCCACGGCGCTGTCTCGCCGCTTGGACCCAGCAGTGGGACGGCGGCGTCGCGGCGGCGGCTGCGGCGGCGACCGTGCCAAGTTGACGTGTCGTTGACGTGTCGTGCTGCCGTCGGTAACTATTCGCGCGGCCTATTGGTGTTGTCTGCATTAATTTTTTTATGGGGGGGTTGTGTTTGCTTTGGTAGCATTAATGCGATTTAGGTGATTTTTTTTTCTTTCCCATTTCCACCGAATAACTGAATTAATTTAGTGCGGTTGGGCAAAGGCGCGCGTTCACGTGCTTTTTGAGTCATTTAAACCGATCGCCAGTTCATTTGGCATCGTTGTATACACGGTGTCGCCGAGTGTCGGCTCTGTCCGCAGTGTTCTCCGTAATCATCCGCAGCGGCCGTTGGTTTGAATCGTCGACTCGCAAGCTCAACGTGCGTGCCCGTGTTTAATCCACGATCCTGAGGTGGCTGCGTTGCTGTTTGGGGCTCCGCGAGCCCTGTCACTGGCGGCGGCGGCGGCGGCGGCTCGCCGCGCAATTCCCTGGCCGCTGGGTTCAACCGCTGTGTGCTTTGAAAATGTGGAAATAACCCGGCTGCTAAAATTGCAACACAGGTCCGGCGGAGCGCGAGCGCGAGCTTTGACTGACAGAAATAAAGAACAAAAATAAGCTAGCCCGAAAATGCCGAGCGCCGTCTTGTGGGTCGCGTTTGCGCGTCAAGTCGTCGCAAGCGGTGGGGGGGGGGGGGGGAGCTCGGTAAAATGGAGCGATGCGCCCTTGAGCCAATAATGGGGAAGATGGCTGCGGCTCCAGCCAATGACGAGAGAGGGCGGGCGTGCCGGCGGGAGGGAGGGGCGCGGTTCGCGTCGCGCAGTGGCGGCAGCGGCGGCGGCGGCGGCCCCCCCCCCTCCCCGTCCTCCGACAGCTGTGGTTCGGCCGTGACGCAGGAGCCAGGACGGAGGCCATGTTTGTGCAGGGTCACGGAAATTGACGCGGGCCCGTGAGAGCGGCCGTCTGCGCGTGCTCGCCCCGCCGCGTGGGCCGCACAGGTAGAGGCGTGCGTGCGCGAGTGTGTGTACGTGTGTGTGTGTGTGTGTGTGCGCGTGCTCGCTCGGCGCAACCAAGCCCGCAGCGCCTCTGTCCGCGGCACCGCCGGGCTCCCGGCTTTGGGGACCGTCCCTCATCGCGGGCGCAGGCCGGCGCGCGGAATCGCGTTATAAACGAGGCTGCGAATTGGTATCTGGACAGCGGATTTAAATACCAAACGGCGTAAAATGTTGTGCTTTGATTGCGGGCGAAGAGGAGTGGTACCCGCTAGCGCCGCGATGCAAATTGTGGCATAGCGTGGCGCGGGCAGGGGGGGGGGGGGGTCGGCCGTCGGACGGCGGAGGCGCTCCCGCGTTATTTAAATCGCGCTCTGATAATAATAATAATGATGTGGACGCCGCCGTGCGAGCGAGCGCGGCACCGGCGCTCGCGCGGGCCGTGCGCCGCCACCGGCGTTGTTGTCGTCAGCGCCGCGCGCGGCTCCGAGGACTTGTGCCGCGTGCGGACGCGTTCCTCGCAACGCGTGCGTGCGCCGTCCCGGATCTGCGCCGCGTTGATGCTTCTCTTCCCCCCCCCGTCCCTCGTTGATCGACGAGCGCACCGCTGCGGTGTTTTAATCTGCGCAGGTTTAAAAAAATTTTCCCACTCCCATCCGCAATGAAAAAGAAAATGTGCAAAAAAATGTTTTCGTCACATTATTTTTTTTTGTAGACTAACGTTTTGTTATTCGTGGCTCGTCGGCCGGCGTTTGCCTGCCTGGCAGATGCGGCCGCGTTTGATCACAACGCCGCGAACGCACTAGTGTGCTCATTTACGCTCGGCGAAATTAGTTCTTTAAGTGATTAAAAAAATTCGCGTTTGGAATGAGACGCGGCGTTTGGCAATTACCCGTTGTGGAGCGAAAGTCGCGGGCGCTCTGTGTGTGCCCGCCAAACGAACGTGTGCGCGTTTCCTGATGCGCAATGATCTCTCTTTTTTCTTCCCTGCACGTGTACAGTGCCGCGCTGCTAAGTTGACACCGTCGGTGAAACCTCCCCTCCGTACTCTGGTGACCGCTGGCCCGAATCGCACGCCGTGAATTATTTCCGTAGCTCGCTCCGCCGCGCTCGTTTTTCTCCCCGTCGCTCGTCCGGTGATTTTTTTTTCGTGCATTTTCCCGGCAAAAATTGTTTTGATGCCGTGGTTGTGCAGCCACCGCCACCGCTGCTGTTGGCGAGCGGTCCGTCGGTCGGATCGCCGAGCAGGGGTAATTAACCGAAACGCATTTAACTAATTAATTATATCAAACTCTCCATTTGGCTGAATGTGCTTTATAATTTATAAGTGGTGGAACGGCATTTGGGGGGGGGGGGAGGAGGGGGGGCCACATCTGGGGAAATTTGCTTTTGTCCGTGGACCCTGCGGCGAGCGAGCGAGCGGAGGTCTGCAGGGCTTGGGAAGTCGCTCGCCTCAAGCGCACGGAGACAAAATGGTGGTGGGCTGTAGGAAGCGCGCGGCTCGAGAGAGCCCTGCCCCGACGGTTTTTCACCGGATTGTTAAAATATTCCTCTCGGTGTCCGCGGCAGAGGGCCGCCGTGGCAGCTCTTCCGATCGCCCTCCCCACTGCGGCCACGAAGGGCGAGAGGGGGAATTCAATCGCAGAGAGAAGAAGAACGGCCGCCGTAGCTGGCGGGTTTTTTTGGAATCCCAACAGTGGTCATCGACTTAAAAAGAGCCAACGGCTTCGGGTGGTCAAGACGGGGGCTGAGGTGGAGTCCAGGTGCTGGGGAGAACCCCCTCCGCTCGCTTATTGTCATCGAAGGTGCCAGCGGTGGCGCTCGTTACCGTGTCTCTGTTTGCGTTCTGCCGGAACGCTCGTCGGCTTTGCTGAGGGAGGGAGCGGCTGTGCTGGAACCCGTGGGTGAGCTCCGACCTCGCGAGTTGGCGTGGTCTCTCTCGGCCCCTTCCCCGTCGCTGGTCGCAGGTGCGGCGGTCTCCCAGAGTGCGGCTGTGCCGGTGCGCTGCGTGGAATCAGATATTTTTATGGTATCGCGGGGCGGGAGGCAGGACGGGAGCATCGTTGCCGTCGGCCGTGAACCCGTCCTGGGGCCTCCGTTGCATGAACCCCATCGGGAACTCTGTGCGGCGAACGTGCCGCCCTCGTGACCTCCTAACCTGTCGGCTCGTGAGCGCCCATTTGAACATAAAGTCTCTCTCGAGGGAGATCTGCGACACGAAGGAACGTCAATGAACGTGAACAAACGGGCCGACATCACGAGCCCGACGATCGGTGTGAACCTGAAACAACAAGTGCCCAGCAGCGAATGACAGACGGCACACGCGAACGTGCGGGGTGCTCGGTCGGGGCCTTGCGGCGCACGCAGGAGATCGCCGCGCCGAGTCGGACGCCGTAGATGGCCGCGACGTTGATCCCGCGCGCGTTCGTGTTTTGCACGGCGCTCCGCCTGCGCAGCGGGCGAACCGGCGCAAGCCTCGCGGCCGTGCGTGTCCCGCCTGAGCGCCGGGCCCGGCGACTTCTACGTAAGCCCGGTTGGGGGAGATGTTGACAGGCGCCGCCGTTAACTCGCGTCCCTCGCGGGCGGTTCGCCGGCTCGGCGCACGCGCCGCGCCGAGACACGCGGAGGGGGGCTGGCGGGCGGCTGGGGGGACCAGCGGCGTCGGCCCGCGGGCACGGACCTCGGCACCCGGGCCGCGGGACGGGTTAACGCGCCCGCGCCGGAACGGGACGTCGCTGTCCGGCGTGCGGGCCGCTCGGAGTGCTCCCTCGCCCGCTCGATTGCCGCCCGCCATTTTGCGTGGCGGCGCATGGGGGGCGGTGTGCCGACGTGCGTGGCCGTGGCGGCAGCTGTTACGATTGCGGCGCGCCGTGTGATCTACTGTACGCCGTCGGCAAGGTGACGGCCGCGGTGAAATAGACGCCGCGTTCTCCTCGGGAGCAGCGGAGCAGGATGTGCGCCAGCTGCTTCCTTTCGCGCGTTTGGTGGTGACGCGTTCTGTTCCATTTATTTGTGGTGAAATTTACGTGATATCGGCAGTATCGGCAGCTTTATCGGCAGCCGAGTTTTGCATCGGGCAGACCCTTAGCCCTGATTGTGCTTGCCTTGTGAAGCAGCATGGTTTGCATCACCAGCCATGATCTATCCGCTGCGTAGATGATAGCCTCCCCATGCCGCCGCTCATGCACTGTGAATTCAAATTGCGTGACGCCTTCCGACACTCGATCGCCTTGACGGGCACTGAACTTGCGGGGCTAGTGCAGGCCGGCGGGGAGCGGTCGGGGCGGGGAGCGTCTCCGGGTTCTGCGCACGATGGACGTGTCTGGTGTTTTGTCGGGACGCGACCCCCACCGCGGGGGGGGGGGGGGGGGTGGTCGTCGTGCGGCGAGCTCGGTCACCTCGCTCCCACACCCCCTGGGAGACGCTCGGCTCCTGCAATGCAGCCCGCGCACACCCCCACTGTACACACGCTGGGAGGCTGCTACACGGGGGGGGGGGGGGGGGGGGGAGGGAAATCGATTTTACGAGTGAAATTAAGTAGCTGTTCGGCACGATTTAAAGGCCGGTCCTGTGTCGGTGATTACCACGGGAATTGAGTGCCGGCGACGGTGAGAATCCACGGTGAGCAAAAGTCCACGAGTGCCGAGCTCTGCGGTCGGGCGCCGCGGTGAGCGGAGACCGCAGGAGCCCCCCCCCCCCCCCGTCATCGTGGTGGTGCCGGTTGGTGGGGGGGGGTGGGCACTCTTGAGTTCTCGCCTGGTCAAACAAGCAAAGCGTGCAAACTACGGGGGGGGCGGGGAGAGTGGAGCGCCACTCGAGGGCGGGGAAGAGGGCAGGCGCGCGTAGGGGGTGGGGTTGGCGCGTGCCGCGGCGCTCGCAGAGTCGGAATGTTTGTCTATGCTGGAGGAATCCGATGGGCTACAAAGCTCTTTTTCACAGATGTCCAACAATAAGCAGTGCAAAAACATGATAGTCGTGCGTAGTGTACAAGAAAGGTAAACAAACCATCCATGCACGCATCGGTGAAACTAAACCATGCCCATACAATCGCACGCACACGCGGTCATACGCACTTGCACGCACAGGTCAAATTCGTATGTCACCCGCAAAGATACTGGGGCACGCGCACGTGCGTGCACTGGCAAGTGCCGCCCCCTCCCACTGTGTGGAGCAGGGGTCACATGAAGGGCCCTCGAAGCTAGCTCTGATAATCTGCTTCCAATGGGCCCTTCTCTAACATGAGAGGTCGCACTGCGTTGCGAGAGATGGGAATGGGTATCTCGTGGCCATGTGATGCCGATAGCGCAATTATACGGCAATTTGGTTGACAGAATTTCGTACAACAAAAAACCCAACTTATACATTCAGTGACAAATTCGATATGCGTCATCCTTCAATTTGCATTTACGGGATTTTGAATCCGTGAATTGCAATATTTGTGGGAAAAATCGAACAACGCGTTGGGGGGTGTATGTCGTCTGACCTCGCGAGGATTCAGCGCAGCTCCGGGCGGCTTGTGCAGCGCGCTGCGAGCGCTCTACTACTGAGGTCCCACGCTTCCCGTGCCGTCGCCCCAACTCGGCTCCCGTTGGCTCGGTCTTTTGCGTTGATCGCCCCTTTTTATAACGATCTTACTTTGGTAAATGTTAGTTGAGATGTCTGCAGGGAGGCCATTGAAGTATCTGAAAGTTAAACAAATCTAAAACTGAACAATGTTTCGTCTTACCAGGTAAAGCCCACTGAGGTATTAACTAATTTTTCAGAAGGGAACTTGGCCAGCTTTGATAGCTCAACAAGGGTGGCTTATCGTCACGTCGACATTTATAGCGGCGCGGCGCTGTGCTGTGTATGGCAGGAGGGCCCTCGATGGCGCTGCCGGGCGCCGTGATGGACGCGGAGCACCCGGGGGCCGTGCTGCGCCGCCTCGATGAGCAACGCGGCCGCGGCACCTTCTGCGACGTCACCATCATCGTCGGCGACCACAAGTTCCGGGCGCACCGCAACGTTCTGGCCGCCTCCAGCCCCTACTTCAGCGAGCTGCTCTTCGCCAGGGGCGCGGAGAGCGGCGGCAACCGAGTGCTGGAGATCTCCTTCGTGAGGGCCGAAGTGTTTGCCGAGATCCTGAACTTCATCTACAGCTCGAAGCTCAGCACGGAGCGCGGCGGCGCCGGCGGCCGTGACGCCGCCCTGTCGGAGCTCGTCAGCTCCGGGGAGAAACTGGGCATGCGCTTCCTGGCTGGCCTGGAGAAATCTCCGGGCTCCCCCGAGAGGCGCGAGACGCCGGTGCCGGCCCCGCTCGCCGCCGAGACGCCGGCGCCACGGCCGGCGCCCGGGGCGTTCGCCGTCAAGAAGGAGCTCTCGGAGAAAGAGGCGCCCGAGGCGAGCGACGGACCCCGAATCCTGAGCTCCTACTCCATCCCCCAGATGGAGAAGGCGGCCGCGGCCGCCGCGGCGGCCAAGGCGGCGGTGCAGGAGGCGCGTTGGGAGAACTGCCCGGCGCCGGCGGCGGCGCCGGCTCCCGGAGAAGCCCCCGCGCCGCCCGCTACGCCGCCGAGCTGCTCCCTGTACGACGTGCACTCGGTGCTGGCGGACGCTTTCCTGATGGCGCTGGAGCACTCGTATGCCATGCCACCCGAGCCCCTGCGGGCGATGTTGAACGCGCGCTGCCAGGGCCGCCGGGGCACCGCCCCCCCGGGGAAGCCGTGTCGCGTCCCCGTCGCGACACGGCCGCTCTTCGGCTGCAGCCGCTGCCCACGGACGTTTGACGGCGCGGACAGCCTGCGGGTGCACGAGAGGAGCCACAGGAGCTTTCTGGTGCAGTGCGACCACTGCAGGAGGCCCTTCATGAGCGAGCGGCTGCTCAGGGCCCACACGTGCCTCCTGCGGCCCCCGCCGCCGCCGCCGCCGCCGCCGCCGCCGCCCGTGAACGTCACGGCCGAAACGCCGTCATCGTGCGCCGTCGTCAAACTCGTCCTGCCCGTCGCTCGGCCGCGCGTCGCCGGCCCCGTCGTCGCCGTCGCCGGGGACGACGGCGGCGGGCCTCCTCCGTGCGCGCGGTCCCCGGTGCCGGGCGCCGAGCGCGGTTACGGCGAGCCGGAGGCGGAGACCAGGGGAGTCTACAACAAGAGCGGGAGCAAGCCGGTGTTCTCCGGCACGCTTCGGCGCAGGCGCCCGTCGCTCGAGCCGGACCACTACGCGCGCGTGGTCGAAGGGCAGATCCTCTACTTCTGCTCCGTGTGCGAACGCTCATATGTGCAGCTCACCAGCCTCAAGCGCCACTCGAACGTTCACTCGTGGACCAAGCAGTACCCGTGCCGCTACTGCGAGCGCGTTTTCGCGCTGGCCGAGTACCGCACCAAGCACGAGATCTGGCACACGGGCGAGCGCCGCTACCAGTGCATCTTCTGCAGCGAGGCCTTCCTCACGTACCACTTCCTCAAGACGCACCAGCGCACGCAGCACGGCGTCAACCCCTATAAGACGGTGGGCGGTGGGAGTCCCGCGACCGTGGCCCAGGATCCGCTCGTGCGCTTCTACCGCCTCTTGCCGCGTCAGGTGAACAAGCGCCTCTACAGGACCTACAGGAGCGTCGACTGCGGCGGACCGCGGGCCGCCGACGGCGTCGCGCCGCCCGCGGCGCCGCCCGCGGCGCCGCCCGCCGACGCCGACCTCAAGGTCGAGGAGGACTTGACCGGCGCCGGCGGCGGCGACGACGCGGACGACGCCGTGGACGGGCAGATAACCGTGTCCATCGCGGACGACCGGCCGGACGAGGAGCCCTACAGTCCCGAGCCGGACCTCCGTCCGCCGAAGAAGAGGGGCCGCAAACGGATGATGTGGCGCGCGGCGGGGGCGTCGCGAGTACGACGAGGACAGCGACAGCGACCAGGAGTGGAAGGACAGCAGCTGGAAGCCGTACTATTCCTACAAACCCAAGCGCAAGGGCCCGCGTGGCCCGCGAGGGAGACGGCGCAGGCGGGGCTGGCGGGGGACGGCGACGCGTTCGGGGGCCTTTGGCTTCGGCGGCGAGGCCGAGAGTTCGGGCGGCGGCTCCGAGCCGGGCTACGCCACGCGGCGCCGGGCGGTGGAAGCGGAGGCGGCCGGCGCCGCCGCGGCAGGCCGGCCGGACGCCGCCGCGGATTCCGCGGTGGGCTTCGGCGCCGCCGTTGCCGCTCGCGACGCGGAGCCGCGGGCCGCGCCGTGGGCAAGGGGGGGCGAAGGCGAGGGTCTCGCGGCCGGCGTGGAGCCGGAACCCCTTCGGCCGGTCTGCCTCTCGCGCGGCGACGGCGGCGGCGGCGGCGGCGCCGGCAGTCGATGGTTTCCGGTCGAGAATGCCACGCGCGACGAGGCGGACTCTGGGAAGGCTGGCGCCGCGCACGGCTTTTACACCGTGGACGGGAGGGGAGTGCGGAGGTCCGCGGAAGACATCGCCATCGCCGAAAAGCTGCTGCAGATGGGGGAGCTCACGCCGCTCACGCCGCCGCCGCCACCGCCGCCGCCGCCTCCTGCGCCGAGGCCGGCCTACCTGGACCCGCAGGACAGGAACGACGTCCTGCTGGACTTGACGTTTGGCAAGCATCGCGTCGCGCACTGCGACCCCGGCCCCGCCCGGCCGTTCTGGGCGGACGCGGGCAATCCCAAACGCGCTTTCGAAACGCCGAACGACAACCTCGGCTATTTCGGCGCCGTTGCCTCCGGCCGCGGGGAGGACGAGTGCCGCGGCCTTGACCTCAGCACGAGCAAGGAGCACGTGGACGGCTGCGGCCTGGACGGCATTCCCAGCCCGTGCAGCAGCGACGAAGAGGACTGCACGCCGGCGTCCACCGTCGACTGCAAGCCGTCGTCGCGCCTCGTCAAAGGGATGTACCCCTGCGTCTACTGCGACAAGGTGTTCCCCTTCCGCTGCCGGTGGATGAAGCACCAGCTGGCCGACCACAACGGCAAGACGTTGAACCAGCAAATGCTCGGCAACTCCGCCGCCAAGGAGAACTGCGGCGGCGGGGGAGGCGGCGGCGGCGGCGCCGTCGCCCCCGGCGACGGCGCGGACGGGCGACGCGGAGGTGGGCGGTGGGGAGGGGCGGCGGAGCAGCGGCCGTGGGAGCCGGGCGCGAGGCCGGACTCGGACGGCGCCGGCCCCGGGGGCGGCCGGACGGACGACGAGCGGGGCGAGTTCAAGTGCTTCTACTGCCCGCGCGTGCTTCGCACGCTGGCGTCGCGCTCGGCGCACCACACCTGGCACCGCCGGTGGCTGAAGGCCGCGGAGCGGCGCGCCAAGTTCTGCCCGCCGCCCCGCGCCGACGACCCGGCCGACCGGCGGCACCGGTACCCGCCGTGCTCGACCGCGTTCGACACGGCGGACTCGCCGGCCGCGCGCCGCCGCCGGCACGAGCGGCGGCCGGCGGCGCCCGCGGACCCGGCGGGTCCCTCGCGGGGCTGGGCCGGCGCTCCGCGCAGGGAGAAGTACCGCTGCTGCTGCTGCCCCCGCGTGCTCAAGACGGCGGCGGCGAGGGCGCTGCACCAGAAGAGTCACGGGATGCCGGCGTCGCCCCCGGGCCGGATCCGGCACGTGGCCGCGGCGGCGGCGGCGGCGGCGCCGGCGTACGAACAGGCGCTGTGACGGCACTCGGTGCCGGCCGCAGCCCCTCTCCTCCGTTGTACAGGGCCCCCCGCAGGAGGGATGCATGTGCTCGTGTAAGTGGTGAATTCCCCGTTTTGAGACAGCCGCGTGTCTTGCTCTGCTTCCATGGGTTTCCGCGTTGCTTGATTCGGTTTCCTCGCGCGGCGTTGGTGCGCGCGTGCGAGAGGGAGTGGCGCGACTCCAGATTTTTGTACGGTCTGAACGCACCACGGACGCTCGCTAATAGCACTTGCTCCAGCAGCCCGTAAGGCTGCGCCGGAGGTCTTTGTTTATTGATGTGCACCCACACGGGGTTCAACTCAAGCAAGAGATGTCTCAACGCCTCGCATGCTAAGATGACTTTGTTCGACGAGTCGCTGGTCGGCAGGCTCCCTGCTACGTGCGTGGCGCGTGTATGCGTTTGTGTCGATTGTGGGGGGGAGAGCGCTGGTGTAGCGGTTAGCGCGCGGAGCTATGAACCTGGCGGCCAGGGCTTTATTCCCGTTCACGGCGGAACTGCTCCTGGGCCTCCCCTAGGTCGACTCGGCCTCTAATGAGTTCCTGGGGCAGCGTGTAAACGTCGCCACGAGGGAGACGAAGGCAGGGTGCTGGACGCCCACCCCCTCGTGTGCCGTGCCGGCCTTCATAGGTGCTGCTCGCTAACCGCACTTACCCCACAACCGTCTGTTGAGGCTGCTCAGCGTGTGGCGTTGCCCTCTCTGGTGGGACAGAGTGTCCTCGTCGCTGCGAGGAGGCATTTTGCGCGGCCTGGACCCCCTCGCGCACTTTGCCGTCTCCTGTCCCCACCGCCACCCCCTCCGTGGCCCCCTCCCTTACCGGTGAGGCCCCGCGGTCGGATCGGGCGGAAACCCTCGCACCCAAACCGCCCTGCCGAGTGCTCGGCCGTCGGCGGGGGGGACGGGCGGGGGCCCGGGCAAAACTATTTTGACGACGGTCGCTTTTTGTGAATCCGCTTCGGCTGTGAGTGTGGTCGGCACGACGGACGATGCCGCGCCGATGCGGTGCCGCAGGTGCCGGACGGAGAGCGCTCGGCGTTCCAGCAGGCCGCACAAATGTCGAGCCTTGTCCTGGGGCGGCTGTCGCCCTCCTCGGTGACGCGTGGACACGCACGGGCGGATTTACGACGGTTGTTGTCGTTCGCGTGGTGAAGGCGCGCAAGCCCTCGGTTGTAATTATTTTTGTTTCCCCGCACCGGTTGCTGTCCGTTTAATGTTCGATCAGTTTTTTGTTTGTCCCAACGGCAGTTTTCTATTTAATTTGTTGGCATCTAACCGTGAATTTAATATTTAATAAAAACACAGGACGTGTTTTTTTGGACAGGTTTGCAAAATGTCCTTTTCCCATGTCGTAGGGACCATCACGACGCACGTTTCGCGCTCGCGCGGTGGTCATTTGTTGTTGTTGAACAATTTAGGGAGAAACACGGGAAATAAAGACGAACAAGAAAACTGAAAAACGTGCACTCCACTCGTCGTGTTCTCCGTGCATCTTCCTACTGCGGTGCGGCCTCGTGGAGGCGCTGGGGTTGGGCCGTGTCCGAGTGTAGTGGGGAGCGATGGTGCAGTGGCTAGTGCGCTGCGCTCCGAACCCGGTGACTCCGGTTCGATTCCTGATCACGGCCAACATCGGCCGCATATTTGAGCCGGTCCTGGGCGTCCCTTAAGTCGGTTCGGCCTTGAATGTGTAAACATCATCACTGGGGAGACAAAGGCGTTCGGGTCGGGTGCTGGCCGTCCACGCCCTCGTGTGCCGTGCCGGCCTTCCTAGGTGCTCCTCGCTAACAGCACTTGCCCCAGCAGTTTGTTAAGACTATACGGGGGATGTGTGTCATTATCTTTGCGCGTGCTTGTGAAGTCCGCGCTGAAGAGCGGGCCTCCCAGCCGTGTGCGAAATAGGGCCCCGACGGGGCCCTTCTCACGAGCAGCGGTGGCTTCGTGGCCTGCTCTCAAGACTGGCAAACCAGGGTCACGCAAACACAAGCAACGTGTGGTGCCGCACGCGCATGCAGACGTCAACACAAACCCACGCGGGTGCATTCAAGGTTGTCGTGATAAACATCAACGTTGAATGAACGAACAACCGTTGCAACTGCACCTCTGCGAATTGCGTGGGAGGCTATTGGGGAATTGCAAATTCGAGGTTCGTCATCACGGTGACCCCTGGGTGACCCAGTTGCACCGAGATCGGCCCGGGAGCAACGGGAAGATTTGGAATTGGTGGCCCACTTTGTCATGGTCCAAGACCCCTCGTCACCACGGGAGAAATCGGCGTGGGGCCAGCGTGAAGCTCTCGCTCCCTCTGGTGGCCGCGGCTCGGGGAGCCACGGGATTCGTGTCTGAAATATCCTCCATAATCATCCCTTCTTTACACCATGCGCTCTCTTCTGATCCGCAGCCACCTTTCTAAACAAGTGCTTTCCTTCTGCTCGGTGAGCAGTTTACATCCCCTACACAGCCAGTGGTGGAAATTCCACATTCCAATGGCGGGGGTTAGCCCATAGAGCAACCACACATTGCTCATTTTGTTTTTTTTTTATCAACCCCGGAGGGATGATAGGCTAACCTCTCCGTGGCCACACCGCGATCCCGCCACACCTACAGCACCTGGCAAGCTCTGTGGTCACCCACCCAGGTACTCGCCCGCGCTCTAACCCCTGCTTAGCTTGCGAGACTCCCGACGACAATTGGGTTTGCTTGTAGAGGGTGAATGAACCGTTCCACGGGCCACGCCGTGGTGAGGGCGTTGATTCGGCGTGGCCTGGTTCTCTGCTGCCCTCTGCTGGTCAGGCAGGGGCACCTGCAGGGGGCCGCGGGGCACGCCCCGTGGGGGTTCGCCCTCTGCCGGGGATGTGAGCGCTTTGCATGGAGCGAGACGGCGCTGATGCCCCGCCGTGTTGCAGGGTAATTGGGCAAAGGCGCGGCACTGCAACGTCTCGCTCACGGACCCTGCTGGTGGAAGGGCCTCCACTCGAAGGGAGTGGAGGCCCTTCCACGGGTGCTTTGGGGAGCTCTCCCATCATGGCAATGTGGATATTGATGGAAAGCAGTACATCGTTTCCCGACATGGGAATGTGGATATGGTTTTCCCCACTTGCCCCGCGCTGTCCGCGGGACTCGCACGCTGCTCACGACGTCATCACTTCCAAAGCCATCTCTTCCTTCTGCCAGACCCGTACACACACAGAGCTGTTGGAGAGTCCGGCACCCATCCTCCTGATGTTCCGGCCTTTCCAGAACCCCGTGATGTGGCGTGAAGTCCTCCTTCCCTTGGTCAGTGCCGGATTATGCTAGCAGCAAAAGTAGCTACATATGTAGTAGCTACGGGCCCCGCACTTTCAAGGGCCCCGCGCTAAATGCTTTCAAGCTACCAGTTTCGGTTCAGTGATTCTGTACTTGCTCTATTACTATAGTACTATAGTGCCTTCAACTTTTATGAACGACTGGGTGTTTGAGGTTAGCGATTTGTCGTATTATCTGGCTATATAGCAAATGAAAAAATACAATTACTTTGCGATGCAAGTAAAAATATGTTTTAATATGAATGTGTTATTTATCTAGGGCCCTTTATAACATATGCTACAGGCCCCACACTCGCTTAATCCGGCACTGCCCTTGGTTACACATTTTGCAAATATTTGAAGCCACCGCTCCTGGGCAGGGCCGGATCATGGTCCCGTGAGGCCCCTGGTCACATGTCTTTTGGAGGCCCCCCCCCCTTTCCTATATTGGTGTCTTTCATGCCTTCCTCCTCGCAAAATCATCCACTAGATCGTCAAAATCTAGCCGTCTGACAAGGTTTGACTTTACATAAGTGACAATGAGCTGAGACGTGTTTGGCAACGCGCTACTGCGCAGCTCATTTTGTATTCTGCCTACAAGGGGAAATGTCCTCTCACCCTGGCAGTTTGTCACTGGCAAAGTTAGAAAAATCCGAAGTGCCACGAAAACATTGGGGAACCCTGACTGCAGATTAAGTTGCCCTGCAACGTCTCAGGCAATTTAGTTGGGCACTTCACACCCTCAGAGTCAGACATGAAAGACTTGAATTGGATGAGTTCGTTGGCAAAGTGCATGTCCAGGTCTGATGGATATGCAGCGGAGACAGAATTT